CTGAACAGGATTACACTTTGCAAATCTTTTTGTACACTATCCTTTGTGTCTCACAGGCACTCTGATGAGTAGACACACAGCTGTCTTAACCCCATGTTATAAATGAGGAAACCAAGGCCTAGCGAGGTAATGAACTTGAACAAAATCACACATTAGTGCTCAGCAGGAGCTTTGGGGTCGGCCCTTGGATGACCGCACTGCTGAAGCCCAGAAATGTCCCGGGAGCCCAGCACCCAGCACAGGGACAGGGACAGTACATACACACACTGGCCCTAGGTTGCTGAGGCCAAAGTGTAGAAAACTCAGGCCTTGTGTTACTAGGTTTCTATCTCCATACCCCAAGCCTGCCCAGCACACCCACTGCCCATTGACTTGATGACCAGGACCTCTTGGAGAAAGACACCCAGCAACACAAATGAATGAACATAGTTGGGGACAGAGGTGCTGAGAGGAAGCGAGCCCACCAGATGGAATTAGAGGGAAAGGTGACTGCAAAAAGTCTGTGTTGAGCTAGATATTTTTCCAATGTTTAAATTTTGAATATGTGCAAGGGTTGGAAGAATAGCACCATAAGAGCCCACAAAACCTCCACAAGACAATTGTTTATATCTTGCCATAATTTCCCTATTTCTATGTGAGTGTCCATATACGTCGCACTGTCTGAATGACTTGAATGTAGAATATTTTGGACACTCACGAACTCTGGCATTGCATCCTGGCTTTACCCTAAACCTGAATACTATTTTTAAACTTCAGAAAATTTAACAATCATCCCCCAGCATCCAATTCATGTTCAAGTTGCCCCAATATTTTAAAGGGAGTCAGTGTGCATATGTTTGAGGCAGACTCTCTAAATACCATTGGCTGAGGGGAAGCTGGCTTCCTCACAGGAGAGTTCTGAGAGTGAGGGGCCCTTGAAGCTCACATGGAAGAGTCTGGCTATTCCATAGTGGTTCATCCAGAGCAAGGGAGGGGAAAAACCCAAATTGTGCAAAGTCCAGGACAGGTCACTCTTGCTGTTCACAGACTACACTCACCCTGGAATCAGTCTCAGCTGTAGATCAGGTCCTAGGAGGGCTGGGAAGAAGCAGCCATCTCTGGAATCTGACTGTGTCCCTGCTCCGTGTCTTCCTCCCTCTCTCCCTCCCCTTGTCTCTCCCTCCCTGCTTTGCCCATAAGAACTTAATCAGACCTGCCTGAGAACCTCCTGTGGGAGCAGCTGGCACCAGGACAGAAATAGCTCCTGTCTCAGTAAAGCCTCTGCTGTGGCTGGAGTTGGAAAGTGTGGGGGGTGGGGAGGAGACAATGCAGAAAACTCTCCTCCCCTTCCCAGTGGTGAGATCCCCCACCACTGGGCCTGAGAAGCTCAGAACCCACAGATCTCTGTTGGGCCCACCCCACCAGACCCTGCCCTCTGTCAAATTACCTGCCTCTAGAGACCAACTCTTTTTATTTGTTCTTTTTAGTTATACATGACAGTAGAGCGCATTTTGACCTATCAAACATACATGGAGTGTAACTTCCCATTCTTGTGGTTGCACATGATGTGGAGTTACACTGGTCACGTATTCACATATGAACAGAGGAAAGTGATGTCYGATTCATTCTACTGTGTTTCCTACTCCATTCTCTTTGTTCCCCTTTAGAGACCAACTCTCGTTAGTAAGGAATAGGGACCCCCATGAGGCTGCACTTCAGGCTCTACTCTGGCTTTCTTCTGGAGTCTGGGGGTTCAAAAGATAGGCCAATCCTAGGGTCACTTCACCCCCATATCAGGGATGAGAGACTGAGATCCTGAATTCCTCACCAGACAGCTGCCACCTGCTTTCCCACAGAAGAAGCCACTGTGCAGGCACCTTCTGCCCTCTCAATCCCCCAAGGGTGATGACTCTTGGTTGGAAGAGCCCAGGCCTGAGGGTGGCAAAAAGCTGCTATTCACGAGGATGAGGATAGGGCTTCAGTGTGAAGGCTGGGGTGTCCCCGTGCATGTCATCGAGGTCCCTTCTTGGTGTAGGAGGGAGCCATGAGGGGGAGAGAAGAAGGGCAGGCTGCAGGCCAGGAGCCATGAATTCTGGCATTATGAAGGTAAATTTGGCAAAGAAGGAAGCAGAACATGTCTTATTTAATACTTTGTTAACTTAATAGTATTTAGAATTAAATGTAGACCACATATATACATACRATTTTATGAGCTAAATAAATATGCATTTGTGGGATATAGAATAATGATATAATTATTGGAGAAATAATCATCTATTTATTTACAATAATTCAGTGATATAAATCTAATAAATATCTATAACTCCATTATAACATTATTTACAAATATACACATACTTACATATTATGTAAAAATATATCTATGGACATGCGATGATGGTAGGTGAGCCTCCATTGGGATCCCCCTGGCAGAGTTGTCAGGTGGGTGCCTTGCTCAGCCCCCACTGCACTGACCAGGCCTTCAGTGGCCTTGGTGTGGTGTTCTGGGATCAATTTGTCATGGAGGCAAATGTTGTCTTGGGTGACTCTCCTTCCTTCACCCACATTTCTCTCAGCCCCAGAAAGACCCTCTGTTACCATGCTGCCTCCTTTCATCTCAAATGCAAAGCTACACTTAGAAGAAAGCCAGGCCCCTAAGGAGGGCAGTTGGTGACCCAAAGATAAGTTCCTCAAAAGTGGGCTTTAGGAATGGCGAGAAATTTGGTGGAGGGAAGAACCCCCCCCCCGCAGGTAGATTTGTAACCCAGCTGTGTAACACGCTTGAACACACATGTGCTCACATGCATGTGTGTGCATGCACATACATGTYATAGTTTGGATAGTTGTTATGTTTGGATCTGGAATGTTCCTCCAAGGGCTGCTGTGTTGAGGACTTGGTCCTCAGCCAGTGGGGCTTTTAGGAGGTTGCAGAAACTTTAGTACCTAGTTTGAGGAAGTAGGTTCCCCTGGGAGTGTGCTTTTGAAGGGTATATCTTGTCTCCAGACTCTTCCTCTCACTCTCTCTTGGCTTCCTGGCTGCCATGAGGTAAACAACTTCGTTCCACCACACCCTTCCATCGTGATGTTTTGCCTCAAAACATCTGTTGCCCAGAAACAACGGAGCCAGGTGACCTGAAGACTAAAACCTCTAAACTCGGAGTCAAAAGAAATATTTCCTCCTTTAAGATGATTTTCTTAGGCATTTTGTCATAGCGACTGAAAACTAACACACACACATACACACAAACACACACAAAACCACATAATTATGCAAAGTTTTTGTATAATAGATTATTGGAGAAATAAGACCATCTATTTATAATAATTTCATATTTATATATGTTCGTGAGGTACTTATTGTGGGCCAGCCCCTGTGCTGGGTGTTAGTAGGATGATGCACAGACAGGTTTTCTTGCTCAGTCTGCAGAGGGACCAGGGCCCACAGGCAGTCACAGAGTGCAGTGAATGAGCACTGATGGCTCAGCACAGAGCAGCCTGGCAGCAGAGACAACAGGCACTAGCTCTGAGTCACAGGACCCAGGGAACTCTCCTGAAGGAAGCAAAGTGTAAGCTAAGAGCTAAGGTGGCATTTGTTCAAGAATTGAAAGTATTTACTTAGTGTGATTCTAAGTTTAGACCCTTGAAAGCAAGAGAGAGAGACGACAGCTCTCATGAGCACGCTGTCAAGACTGAATTCCTCAAATCTCTTTTCTCTGCATCTGGAAGGCCTGGGCAGGAGGAGGATGGGTCATGCATGGAGGGAGGAGGATGTAGACAGGGGAGGTGAAGCACCCTGAAGACCAGCTTTAGACTTTAGCTCAGGATGGCACGTCCCTTCTTTGTTGTCAGAGACACAACCCGCTTCTGACGGACAATGGTGCGAGGCAGACATAGCAGTTCATTCACTTATTACTTAATTTATTTATCCATTTATCTAGTTGATCTGTCCTTCACAAAATCTACACTGAGCAGGGCCTGTGAGAGTATGATGATAAATTAGGTTCCCTGATGTTATTTCTGATGCCCTGCCCAGCTAGTCCTTGTACGGTGGCTGGATCCTCCACTTGGGCTGCCTTCAGCCCACTTGTCTGAAGCCGGCACTCACCTTCTGGTGGCTCTTGTCCATAACAAGACTTGCCTGACTGTTCTCATCACTTAGAACCACCCCTCCCCCATCAATACTGACTCTGCTTTGCCAATCACAGGTACCTCGTTTCATTGATGTTGTCGTTTTTATTCATCAAGTCTTGTATCCCCTGGAGAGCAGAGTCCCTTTGCGCTTTCATGTTGTATCCCCCCCACAGATGGGTCCATAGGACTTAATGAATGTTTGCTGAATGAATGAATGAATGAATGAATGAATGAATATAGTGGGTAAGCCAGGTTTTATCAGGATAATGTCAACCCTATACAGTTCTAAGTGTCCAAACACTAGGCTGGAGGCATTTGGAAACGGTGTTTTCCTGTTTGGTTGGCACAGGACATAAGCATCTGTTCTAAATGTGTGTGTGCTTGTGTATTTATGCATTTCCCCCTTTCCATCAGAGGGATAAAATTGTGTTCAGCCATGTACAGTGTGTTTCCTGCTTGGAGCTGTGGGGATTCAGGAAGCAGTTTCTCTGGGCCCAATCCATTTTTTCTTTCTTTCTTTCTTTCTTTTTTTTTTTTGGTGCTGGGGATTGAACCCAGGGCCTTGTGCCTGCAAGGTAAGCACTCTACCAACTAAGCTCTAACCCCAGCCCCCAGAATGCTTTTTAAGAATCCTTATAACCATGAGTGAGTATATTACTTCTATGTGGTGCTTATAGTATATCACATTTATTCACAACCACTTCTCACCTCAGCCCTGTCTTGTCTTACAGAACTAGAAATGAGTGCTCACAGAGGTTAAGCCAGCTACTACGCAAGTGTGCTCAGCTGTGAGGGGTAGGCTCAGTTCTCCTCCCTACCCCTTGGTCTCCTGGATTTTCCAGGGAAGAAAGACCCACTCCCATTCTGTTTCAGCAGGGCCTGGAGGGGCCATGTCTCTCATCCCGTGGTTCCGGTGGAATGAGCCCCCACCCCGGCTGTCATCCAGGAGCCCTGCTGAGATGGTGCTGGAGACGCTCATGATGGAGCTGGTGGGGCAGATGCGAGAGGCTGAGAGGCAGCAGCGGGAGCGGAGCAACTCGGTCAGGAAGATCTGCACCGGTGTGGACTACAGCTGGCTGGCCAGCACGCCCCGGTCTACCTATGACCTCAGCCCAGGGGAGCGGCTGCAACTGGAGGATGTCTGTGCCAAGATCCACCCATCCTACTGTGGGCCTGCCATCCTCAGGTAATCCATGGCATAGGGACAGGGACCAGCTATTGGGCTGTAGCTCCAGGCAGGGCCCTGAGGCCACCAGGACTAGACCCAGGGTTCCTGGATGACACGGTTAATCTGTCAGAAGGAGCAAGGCAGGAAGAGGAAGCTGAGAGACAGCATGGAGCAGCAGGTTGGGGCATGGGCTTCAGTGAGAGGCAGAGGCAGCTCTTGGGGGCATATGAGTTTTGGTGGATGAGGACTCTCTGTTCTTCCTGCGAAGGTTATTAGTATCCTGGATTTCAACAGCTGGCTTCTCCTCCTTCATCATTTTATGATCATTATTACTTTCTTAGAGGAGTTTTCCCAGACAATCTCCAAAATTAGTGTCTTCATCATCCTATTTCACACCAGTCTGCCTAAGGTATGAAGGTGACTGTGAGTGTGTGTGAAGGGTTCGGAGCCCTGGGGCACTGAACATTTAGAGCTTGGATACAACAATATTCCTGAATGTAAATGTAACCTTCCTGAAGTGGTGACCCGCGGGGTCCTGTCTCAGATTGGTGAAGTCAAAGAAGCATGTAGTCAGTCCAACAGCCAAAAAATAATTTCAAAATAACTCAATTTCTTTTAACTGTATTTCTCTTTGTAAAGGAATACAAAACAACAATAAAACATTTTAAAATTCCCCTGACTACTCAAATCTCCCTTTACCCATCTCTTTAACCAGTGTAAGCATCTATGGTACACGTTTCCATTTAAAATTCCTTTTTAGAATGCCTTCTCCAGCCCTATTCTGGCTCCTTTTATAGTCTTTTTACTTTTATCCAGGCTGAGAATCCTAGCCACTCTTCCCATTTTTCTGATTTTGTGCCATGGAAACTCCCCAAGTAGACCTACTCCAGAAGCACCTGGGGACAGGGGTGGGATGCTGACTGGGGGACTCAGTTGCAAATCAAGCCTCCTAAGTGAAGGAAAGACTGAGAACACTCACAAGGTAATGAGATAATGACTGTCCTGATACATTTCCCATCTCACATCATTGCTAAGAAGTTTGCAAAGTCCTGACTCTCAGTATGGGGGAGGAAACCAGGTATTCAATGGACTCACTAACATTGATTCTTGAGCGCTAAACAAAGACTTTCTAAGAAACGGAAACAGCTTGGGAAAACACCCAGGGACCCAGGTGCAACCCAGGCCTGTGGGAACCTCATAGGATCCTTCCTGGCTGTAATGCAGGGTCATCTGGGGGAAGTAGCAGGAGGAGCCCTACGTGAACGGCCATTTAGCTCCCCCTCATCCAGAAGGTGACAGAGAAGTTGTGGGAGGCACAGCTTATGTCACCGTCACAAGCAGTGACATAATCAGATACCCACTTCAGAGATCACATAGGGTAGTGTGTGGAGAAGGAAAGGGAGAGGGTTAAGGCAGAAAGTCTTACACAGCAAAATTGCCACGGCAGTGGGCTCCCCAGAATACCTGGGCATTGACCACCTTAGGTGTCGGGATCTTTACCTACTTGGGCGCATGAAACCTCTCTGGTAAGTAGGAAAGCCCCCTACACCCCGTTTACAGATGAGGATGCAGAGGCTCATGGAGGCCAGGAGTGGCAGAACTGGGGTTTGAACTCAGGATGGGCTCGGGAAATAGGGAGGCGGGGTGATTGCTGTTTGATTTCAGTTGCAGGTGAAATGGACTAAAGGGGAATTGACCACAGGGAGGCACGAGCGGCTCCTCAGGGTTAGAGGCCCGCCATGTGCCATCCCGCAGGGTCCCAAGGCGCCCCCTCTTTTGTCCAGGTTCCGACAGCTGCTGGCGGAGCAGGAGCCCGAAGTGCAGGAGGTGTCCGGCCTCTTCCGCTCGGTGCTGCAGGAGGTCCTGGAGAGGATGAAGCAGGAGGAGGAGGCCCACAAGCTGACGCGCCAGTGGAGCCTGCGACCCCGGGGCAGCCTGGGCACATTCAAGAGCCGCGCGCGCATCTCGCCCTTCGCCAGCGACATCCGGACCATCTCGGAGGACGTGGAGCGCGACGCGCCGAGGCCGTCCCGCACCTGGAGCATGCCTGAGTTTCGGGCACCCAAGGCCAACTGACCTCGGCCACGCCCCTGTTCAAAGCCGAGACACCTGCAGGAGGGCATGATAGGCCGGTGACCTGGTCGTCCGTCCTGGAACCTCTCCCCCAAACCCTGATGAAGAGATCAGAGGCGTCCCTATCCCAAGATGCTGCTGTAAAATGGGTCGACCTCTCCCCATCTCACCCTTTTCTGACCTTGGGACCAAGTCAGGAGAGTCAGGGCGTGAAGCTGCTGTGGCAGGCGGCCCCACCCCCGCCCCCACCCCCGCAGAGTCTCAAGGTCTTGATAAAGAGACCCAAGTCCCATCTCCATCTCCTACAATGAGTTAGTTGCCCTATCTTTTTTTTTTTTTGCAAGATATCACCCCAAATTTAGGAATATCCTTCATTCCCTTCCTTGGTAATGATAAGCGATTTATGGAATAGTGTCCATTCTCTGTTCCTGATCTCATCCCTCGGGGGTGGGTCACAGCCTCGTGGGCGGGCAGAGCCGGCAGATGCAACATACCACTAGTCAGCTAGTGAGTGAGGAAGCTAGAACTCAGACTGGGACAGCTTCTTCTGTCTTAAAGCGCAGCCAGGTCCACACAGGCAGACAGATTGTTCCTGAAGTCTCTGCCCCTGAGTCCCTGAATTCTGGGCTATAATGGGACGTCCTAGGGGGGTGCATCTCCATTTCTGTGGTCTGATCAATACCTCCCCTGGGTTGGGGAAAAGTGTCCCTAACTACCAGTGCATGCTCAGAAAATGCAAGTGGATCTTATTAATAATCTAAATAAAATGCCAAAAGGAAGTGAAACAATAGGGAGTGAATTCATATATTTCCTGACCAAGCTCAGTGGAAATTTATCCCCCTTCCTTTTATTTTGGAGACAGCCACTTTACCCAGGCTGGTCTTGAACTCATAGGCCCAGTGCTCTTCCTGCCTCAGCCTCAAAAAAAAAAAAAAAAAAAAAAAAAAATCTTTTTTAAATGATCAGGTTTTGGATTTTCACTCAAATCTGAACAGAAAATCATTGGATGGTGGAACCCTCTCATTCAGTGCTATAAAGATGAAGAAGCTGATTGGCTTATTGAACAATTGGGAGAAGCTGAGAATCACTTAAAGAAAATATACACCTTAAAATAAACATGTATTTGATTGGAAGACATTAGAAAGTTCATTCAATTGCCAAACTTTGGATGTAGGTCCAAGCTATGTTCACTTCTCTGTGACATGTATGGGTTGAGTGATGGGAGTTCCACACTCCAGCTGATTGCTTTGTGTGTACTGTAATTATATCAATAAGAACAACCAGCATCAACAAGTTTTTGGAACAAACAGAAGAGACTCTTGGTAAGCAGCCACCCAGTTGGAAGGAGTGACAGTGTTGAGGGAGAGCAAGAACAAAGCCTACAAGCCATGAGCTTTTTGGGTGCCCTGACCAGGATCAGCATGTTTTCATTAGAGGAATGGAGGGTCATGGTTCACCTGGAAGGAGGTTCAAGAGGCTGGCTCAGAGAACATCTACTCTTTTCTTTCTTCTCAATCACCTTACACATACTTGTTCTCCCCAGAGAAAAGGAAGACCTGAGGCTTTCAACATGGTGTCCTTTTAAAACAAAATTTAAGTGACTGACTACCAGTTAAAACCTTCTCTGCCAATCTCACTTGTGACAGAGCCCACCAGCTTCCCCAATGACTAATGTTCTGCTGCAGCTGATTCAGCAGTGACACTCAAACTCACCAGGGTCAGAAGGTTGTTCCTGTACATTCAGTTTGTTGTAAAGAGACTAATGATATCTGTTTCTGCTTTTCAGGAGCAATGAATAAAAGGACAAAGGAGTGTGGGAGTCTTCTTATGACTGTCAGATGAGTGATGGGCAATAGCTAGAGGGGAAGGGTGGGGCATGCTTGGGACTTTGTGTGACGTGCTTTAGCACTCCACTCAATACCAGCAGCCCCTAGAGGGGACGGCGTGAGGGTTAGACCACATATGACTATCATTTATTTGACTTCGTGGTGTTTTTGACTTGTTATGGAAATTTTCAAATTAACAAAATAGCAGAGAGAAAAATTTTAGGAGCCCATATACATCCATTACCAAAGTTTAATAGTTCTGAGTATTTTGCCATATTTGATTTTATCGATTATCAAATTTTTGTGAGGTATTTTAATATAAATCCCAGACATATGACATTTCTTTCCTGAACACATCAGAATGCACCCCAAAGGAATAAGAAATTTTTCTTTCTAACCACAATACTGCTATAATTTCTAATCAAATTAATATTAATTCCTTAATATTATCTAGTACCCAATCCATCTTCAAATTTCCATAATTATTCCCAACACATGATTCTTGCGGTTTATGTCTTTGAATGAGGATCTGATCAAACCCCACACATTGACAAGACAGTTGCACATTGTTTTTTTTTT